ATTCTGATGCAATAACTGATCTGCTTTCACATCTGTCTCTACCCTAGGACTACTAAAGGGAGAATCTGCAGGATAACAGACTTACTATGGTTAAACATTTTCACACATATAGTTCTCCAGTTCTTAAATATTTTCACACATGTAATTCTCCAGTTCATTGTAAAATTGTACGGTCAGATTAATTTAAGTGTGGAATGACTCTATGCATAATGAAGCCTTAGCTTAAACTATACTCCAGTATTCTTGCTATATGTTCTAATATTCTTTTCAGTTTCTCATTTCTCTGTTACATTGTCTAAACATCGACAGAACTGCACATATTGCTCATCTAACCTAGATGGCTTTATGAAAATAATAATGACTTGTGCTTGATTTAGAGCAATTATCATCATTTGGACATAAAATTAACTCTAAAATATACCCTAACAAGTGTTGAAAAATTGCACATTTCAATGGCACGGAAAGTCAAAATGGAAAACCCAGTATTGCTCAAAACCAGAGTTCAATGTTGCCTCCACATTAAATTCTAGAGAAAAATTCCCTGGTTTGAGTGATGCAAATAGCATTACTGACTCCATGAAAATTGCTATCCAAATGGTGTTCTGCCAAGAAGAGGAAGTGGCTTTAATATAGTTACAGTTTCTAATAATCTTGTTAGTATAGGGAAAGGTATAATTAGAGATTTAAAAAAAAATTCATCCACTACATATATGGGACACCTTAACAACTCACTTTTAAGTATAGCTATCATATGGACACTTCCTTTTATTTCAATTCTTTCATTGAGCCATTGACTTCTTACAGGAGCTCACTTACAAAGACACTTCAAGACTTTGTCCCATTAAAATTCCTAACAATAAGCCTTGGCAAAGAAGCTATGATTTTTTTTCCACACCCAAAGTCTTCCCAAGTGCACTGCAGTACAGTAGAGGGTCATAGATCAATGATCAGGTCAAGAATGCCAGCCATTTTTGTCTTCCTTACTCTAAAGGTATTGAAACCAGTTAAAGTGTCTCTATTGTCACTTCCAGCTGAGTCAAAGAAACTGCACATAGGCCAAGGTTTGAATCTGGCACCATCTAAGTTCTGTACACATGACAGAGGATGTGATTGATCTTTGATGAAAGAATACAGGCAGTACAAGCTGGCAACCCATTCATGCATTGTTTGATTTCTTTTCCACTGACATCCTGGGTTGCCAATTTTCTATCACTGATTTTCACTGCACGCACTATTGCAAACTCTCTGAAAGCATCAACCAGAGCCTCTGGCCCTCAGATTGGCTTCTTATTAATTACAAAATCTTTATTAGCTAACTACTCAAAATATCAAACTCAATTCCATCTCTCTTCCGGGCAAGTTATGGCCTCTTATATCATTTAACTATTTCCACTTATTTGAAGTTTGCTTCCTTTGAAGTGTTTAAGAAGTTCAGCACCTGATTGTATTGTATGAAGGATTTACCAGCAAGAGAACAAAATGTTCAGCACTGCTCCTCCACTCAAAACCTAAAACAGCTATGCAACATGTATAAATATCATGCATCAGTAATTAGTCCAAATTTCGGGAAATATTGCCAGGAACTTTCTTAATAATGAGAAAATGCCTACAGGTGAAGTATGGTAAAAAATAATTATTTAAACAAAATTTGAGACCAGGCCTCCGGCAGTCACGTTAAAATGCTAAAATCACTGTTGAATGCCAGAAATAATCCAACATTTTCCTAGTTACCCAGTGAATTCCCACTAGAAGGAAGTTTTTAATACCACTGAAATAGTTCACATCAGATGCTTAAACTGTTGCAGTTGCTGCTAATGGCATTTTTAAGAGTAGAGGCATCTTGTACTGCGAAAAAGAAAGGAGTAATGAAGTAATATCTGCATTAAGCAGCCAAAAAATTTCAGCATGCGCTTTGCACAATTTTCTGTGCATTGATTTCTATTTAAATGGGCATAGAATCTATAGATATTTCACACCTGAACTGCTGATGTGCAGCTCAGTGAGAAAAGCTGCCCTTTAAACATGCAAGGTCAGGAAATTTTCTCTAGATATTTCAACCTTCCAATCTTTAGGCTATTAAACTATTTGAAAGCAGTTAAAAAATTTGTGATAAAGATAAATCATCCAAAATGTAAACGTTGTATTTATTATTTCAAATTAATGATTGGCCTACCATGCATTTCCAAAACATTGTTTTTATTTAGGATCTTGCATTTGCAGTTTTTCTTTCCCTTTTTAAAAAATAGTCTCTGCATTTCACATTTGTTGTGATCCACATTAGAGACATAACATTTAAAAAGAGATTCAAGCTTCCACTAATTAGCTGAAAGAATGACATCACAAAATTTCACATTTTAAAATGTGTCCTATAACAAATGCGTACGAATGCACTATTGATGAAATACTATTTTCATTTTGTAGTCGCTTATACTTTAAGACACAGAAAGTGACATTCTCTTGTAAATTATTACCTATCTCATTCTGCATGGAATTATAGTCCTTGAGTCACCAGTCAACAGTTGCTTCCAGCATCTAATGGGTTTCCCTGTCCCTGTTTTGCCAATTAGTAGCTTTGAGTTACCATTTCTGAGTGACCATCTCAATCCTTAAATTCACACTGACAGTACAGCCAATTCCACAAATACTTCTTCTTCTAGACTGGCTATGATGAATATCCTAGAAACCTTAGCAGCTGCAGGGTTTTTTTTTAAATACCCATTCTTGGGATGTAAATGTCACTGGTTAGACAAGCATTCATTGCAACTTACTAATGGACTTAGAGAAGGTGGTGGTGAATTTCTTTTTTATCCACTGCATCTATGGGCTATAGGGAGACTATAGTGAGATTAGGAAAGAAGTTCTAGCATTTTGAGTTGGTGACAGTGAAGGAAGAGCAAGTTTCAAGTTCCAAGTTAGATAGTTTGTGATTTGGAGGAGAACTTGCTGATGCTGGTGTACTTATCCTCCTAAATGGTCAAACTTGCAGTTATATAAGGTGTTGTGGGACGAGGTTTGGTGAGTTACTAAAGTGCATGTTGAAGATGGTACAAACTGCTGCCATGTTGCATAGGTGATAAAAGAATTAAATATTGAAGATGGTTTATGGGGTGTCAATCAGTTTGTCTTGAATGCTCTCAAGCTTCTTGAATGTTGTTGCACCATGATACTTATCGGGGGGAGGGGAAGTCAGGGGTGGATGGGGTGGGGATTGTTAGTATTATGTGATTTGGCATAGATAGCACATCAGTAGTGTATGGGACAAATAAGGGGTTCTGAAGGGCAAGGACTAATTTTTGTTTTAATTTTATTTGCATATCTTTGATTAACTCCCAGTGTATCGAGGCCAGTCTTTTGACAGGTTTGCCTCTATGCCCAGCAGCATCTGATCATTTTCCAGGATTGCCTTCCATGACTCCTCCAATGGGAAAAATCAGAACTAGGGGACACTGCTTAAAAGTCATGAGTCACCCATTTAAAACAGAGGCACAGTTATTTTCTCAGAGAGGCTCATGAGTCTTTAGAACTCTCTTCCTGAAAACTTGACAGAAGCATAGACTTTGAATATTTGTAAGGCAGAGGTAGGTAAAGTCTTGTTAAGCAAAGAGGTAAAAAAAATTATTGGGGTAGTCACAAATGTGGTCTGGAGGTTGCAGTTAGATCTCGTTGAATGACATATTAGGATCTAAGAACTGAATGACCTACTCTTGCTCCAGGTTTCCATGTACTACCATGAAACTTAAAACCTCCTCACTCTGGAACAAAATTGTGAACTTCTGAGACCTTGTCTCCAAGTCCTGTTTGTTGAGCCAGGAATTGTCCTGATGCTGCCCTCCTCACCCAGGAACAACATTCAGGACTTAGAGTCTACTCATTGTAAAGTTAGAGACTACTGCAATTGTCTCCAAATATACGCACCTTTATCTCTAACAAGCATACCATTAGATTTATCACAGACTACAGAACAGTTACCGGAAATTTAAAGCTACTTTCCCCGTCCATACTACAATAATCTTGGTATTATAACAATAGAAACTTCATAATTGTAAAGCATTTTGTTGATCTGGTTTGTACTTATGCTTGGATATAATTTTAAACTGCATTTTAAATAATTTCAGAAATCATCTACCAAAGTTAGAACAGGAGCTCAGAAGAAATTACACAGAATTCCTGGGAAACACGTTTTAAGAAAAACCAATCTGTAAAAACTAAAAATCTAATTCACTTTAGACAATTAAGTAATTTTGCAGATTATTCCCCATGTCCAACATCTGCTATAGAAATACATTTTGAAGATTATAGAATTATTCAAATTAAGAGATTCAATAACAAATAAAAGACAATGAAGACAATTTTAATGTAACCCCTTTCATTGAGCAGGAGGCAATTTTATAACCAGATCTCATTTAAACTCTGTTGGGTGAACTAATCATGCTCTATTAAGATTGAAATGCAGGACAGGATATGTAGAAATTAGTTCCAAAGTAAAAATCACATTGGACTCAAAACATTAATTTGGTTATTCCCTCCACAGATGCTGCTAGACCAGCTGAGTTTTTATAGCACTTTCTGTTTCTATTTCAGACTTCTTGCACCTGCTGAACTAAATTAATCTGTGACTTGTTATGTTCAAGCAATATGAATAAAACTGATTAAGGACTTGAATCACATCTTGTCTCACCAAATCTTTGCTCAGTCTACTTTCAGAGAGATTGAAGAAGCACCAATGCATAAAAAAATTGAATTCCAATCATAAGAGAGATATCATTGTAACCCATTCAGACAAAATGTTGTGTGAGGAAGTGAAAGCCAACTCTCAGTAAGCTAATTTGCTCACACCATGTGAGGATCAACTGATGCCATTGAAATGAGAATATCTCCAAGGCAAACTCAAATTTGTAATAAGATGGTTATGTGCCATGTTAGACTTACTTGAATTTACATTTAAATAGTCAGGTGATGGACAACCCAATATTAAAGTCACAAGAATTAGAAAGACTTACAGGCATCAACACTGCAGAAGATACTGGCATTGCAGAATTGGGGAGGTTGCCAGGCATTGACCCTGGCATGGGCTGCCTTTGTCTGTTGTGGAGATGCAGTAATGAAGATAGAGACCCTGGGACAGGCCTGAGGAAACAAAAAAAAAGGTGAAAGACGTAAGAAATAATATTATAGCACAGAATGACAAGTAAAACACACAACGCCTCTTTACAAAAACACATTGGCATAATATCAACCCCTCCATGATGGTGGGAAAGGTTTGGATTAAAGACCTAAATATGCGGCATGGATATCTGACAAACTGCACATACACCCCACCAGCTTTCTCACATTGGAGGTGTAATGAGTTCTGAGTGTTTTGTTGATATTTTTGTTCTGTTTTCGGCCTGGCAGCCTGCCAATCAGACAGCCTGGCTATCAGCCAAGAGGTAAAAGCAGCAGCGTGTGTACACATCAAGGCTCCTTGGGGACACTCCCTGGCAACTGGGAGAGAGGCTGACTGGAAATGAGGAAGAAGCTGTGGGATGGTTAGCGATTTCAGGAGGGTGGAGAATGAATTCATTGGAGGAACAGAAAGACCACCGATGCTTCAGTGGAGAGGTTAGTGTTAATGTTGGGGTAGGATGGGGGAATGGGGATGCTGAAGGCTCCCATCACGAGCCAGGTAGAGCAGCCCTTCTGTTTATCTATAGGAACTGCTGAGAAAGGCTTCATAGAAACTGCAGCACAGCTTCACTTCCATCATTCAGCTTCATGACACCTGGGAAACACTGCGAACAGCAATTAATTTTAAATCAACCTTCAAAGTGTACTATATTGGCCCTATTTAAATATGTTAATTTAAGCTTCAATGGCCTTTCATCAGAACTGGATCATCAACCTTAATTGTAAACTCATTTTTCTCTCCAAAAATGCTTCAAGATTTGCAGTTCCTACATATTCTGTTTTCATTATAGATTTCCAGCATCAACACTATTATGCTGTAGCATTAATATTACCATAGATGGGCATTGAGTAATAAGAATACTATTTATATTTTAACTCCTGCTTTGCCTCATTTATTGATGGATGGAATCAAAATTCCTCCCCATATTTGTTGGCTTTGTAATAATACTCCAAACTGAAATATATTCCGTATATAACTGATACATCTAATTAAAACTATGAAAAATCATGTTGCTTATTCATCACATGATGAAAGGTACATATCACAATGTAACGTGAACTTTCCAACACACCAAAGGGAACTTAGCAAGCACTTTTGTGTTCACTTTACAAAACTAAATAATTTGGATCTAAATGTAGTGCTAAATCAAGGAAAGTGAGCCCTTTATTTGATTAATTCTTGACAAATACCCCTTTGTTTTTGTCTAGTACATGAACACCATATCCTCATACTTCTACTGCTGCGTTTGTTTAACCCTGATCTCATTCCATTACTCTCATTAATATTCCCTTGCGCTGTCTTGGAGATGGTGACCCCCTGAAGTGATACAATACATCAAAATAATCTGATTCTATCCATGCCATTTTTCTGCCAGTACCTCACCCAAGTGATCATCTTAAATCTGTAAACCTTGACAATGAACATTAGCATGCTATTCAACTGCAGCCAAAACCAAAACCAATATAATCCACACCCAATGTCAGTAAAATTGCAAATTCTAACACTAACAAAGAACAAAACACAGAGCTCAATTTTCAGATTTAGATTCTTTTTAAATTTGGAAAACTTTTTAGACTGCTCGTGACTCCAGACTGGCTGCTAGATAACTGCCAGTCATTCCAGAAATGTACCAGGTAGATTCATACTGGGTTATTTTTAGGCTTTTATTGAAACATATTTGAGATAATTTTGACAAGATGTTTTTCACAGCATAAACAAAATAACCTTTAAGACTCTATTCCATCTGAGCAATTGAAAATACTGCTTAAAAGCATGAACAGTTTATTGGCATTTGATCAGGTTTGCATAAAGGCAAAACTTAAGAAAATTACTGATTATTGTTAAAAACAACAGACATAATCCAGGCTGATATGAGCTGACCACATTTTTGACTGGAAATCTCTGTTGAATGATGGATAACAGAACCACACAATGGCAGCTGCTAATACAACTGAACTTCAATGAAGATGTCAATACTTCAGCTAGGGATGAAAACTGGAGATGCCCTTACGCACATCATTCTTCATTTGCATTTAATAGCAAAATATTTACAACAATGATTGTTTTTCCTTTAAAAACAGTTACTTGTTTTCCTTTATTACAGTTTTATTTTTATTACTTGATCTCTTAATCCTCCGAATTCTATCTGTCCTTCCTACTCTTATGGTAGCTGAGGATGGAATGGCTTACATGATTTTCCCCATCTCATTTGATTATAACAATCTTTTTTCAAAGCATTGAAAGATGGACTTGCCAATCTAATGCATGTACTTAACTTTTTATATGTTGTTTATAAAGAATTAGCCAGTATGTTTTTCTTGAGTTTCTGACTAAGTAAGAAATCAAGCTGATTGTTCTGAAACTGACCTGAGTAAAAGATTAAAATGTTTACTACACATCCTGAGGCACAACACATACACTCAATCCAAGTACATAAAGACAGATTAAAAATAGAGGTAAGTAAAATTTAGCCAAAAAGTAAGTCATATGAAATCAAACTTTTACAGTTCATGACTGGTTTGATGGTCTAGCCGTTATTTGTACACATTTGGTTCTCAACTGGAACAATATTTTAAGATGTAGCTGGGATGTCCCTTTCTCTTCTAAAGATGTTGCTGTGGAAATTCTGTGGTTTTTCCTGTAGAATTCTCTGCCTGCTTGCAGGTCAGGACATAGCAAACTGAAAAATTTAGCTTTTACATTGCACAGGGAGATTTTTGTTTCCACTGCACATTTACAATTTGCATGAATATGGAAGGCAACACAGATCGCAATTGAATCTCAGGATCAGCCTGGTAAGCAAAGGGTCTCTTCTGCCAAAACTCCATGGTCCTTTCCTCCTGGCAATCCCTGGCCAGGCCATCTGTACTCAGCCTCCATATGTTCCTATATCCCACTTTGACTTAAATCTTCAGTTCTCAGAATTACCTCTGAATTCTGGCCTGACAGTTTAGTCATGTCAACCATCATACTGCACTGTCTCATGTCTAGGCTGCAGTGGTGGTGACCATCAGTAATGTCCCTTCCCGTAGCAGTCCATTTTCTATGCTCTGCTATCTCCCCTACACCCTATGATGAGTTTCCGCCTTCACAATTACGTCCCCTCCGCATCCCAGTTTTCTGCCTTCAGTCCCCAGAATTAACTTACCCCACTTCCCCACAATAGTGGTGGCCCTTAATAGCTCCTGTTGAGCTGACCACCAGAACTGACTGTGGCCTCCACATAAGAAAGGAAGAATTGAGGTTTAAGAGAAAACTAGGAAGATATATATAAAAATAGTAAAAACTTTTAAAGGCAAAATAAAAAGGAAAAGAGTAAATAAAGTAAGCTTTGCTTACCAAGGGGAATTAATAATGGGAAAGAACTAAATGTCAGAGACTTTGACTATTTTGTATATGTCCAAATAGCAGAAGATACAAAAAGCATGCCAAACACATCACATAAGCAGAACTCACAACAGATTTGTTACTTTGTTTTGAGTTTTGTAAATGAAAGCTGGTCAAGCATAGTCATTACTGAACCAATTATGAGCAAACAAAGGAACATGCTGCTCTGTGCCTGGCATTGGACTCACACAAAAGCTCATACATGGCATTGTTCAATTCTGTGGTGGGTAGAGCATATGTTGAATGATTCCACAATTGGGCAGCAATTGTTGAAAAATACTGAACATGCTAAAGGCTGCACCAATAACGAATGTAAGATAATGATCATGCTTATAACATGGCTCACTTATAATAAAATAAAACCTTTCCCCCACCCCACCACCTGTCTTTAGCATATATACCATTTTTCCCCCATTTTTCCCCTACGAGTTCTGAACAAGGGTCACAAGACTGAAACATTAACTCTGTTTTCTCTCGCAGAAGCTGCCAGACTTACTGAGTTTTTCCAGCAATTTCAGGTCTTGGCTTATTTATACTTATTTGAGTGACATACATTCATATATAGGGACCCTTCTCTGCAAGCAAAAGGAACATGTTCAAGCATTGCACCTATTTTAAATTAATCAGAAACTTCAGGAGTCTATAGTTCCCAATTGTTTTGTCCATGGCAATGCCTCAATCAGGGATGATTTGTCAACCAACAGTACTCCTTCTGCAATATAAATTGCCTTAACAATTTGAAATTTGCTAATCTTGTGTATGTCAAGGCTTGAACAATCTGTCGCTCTTTTCAGCAATGTTTAAGTTCTGTACTAGCAAGCAACATTTTAAGAATCCAATTTACCAAATTACCCCAGGCCCTCTAAATCAAGAGATTATTAATACAATTCCACTTATTAAAGTGAGTTACATAAATCAGAGGTAACAGAAATTAAGTGATAATTCAAATAAAAATGGAAATTTCATTTGAAATAGTCAATTTAATAAAGAAACTTCTTACACAACAACTGTAAGCAAACAAATAAACCTCCCACTGGCATGTGGCACTATATACTAGACAGGTCCACAACATACTGCTCTTTGTACACAAGGATAGGTCAGAAATCCTATCCAACAACACTATTCATCTCCAAGTCTCACAGTTACAAATGTTCTCAGCAAGACACACTTCCACGAATCCTCTCTCTGTAGATCATGACAGACTGATGGTATAGCTTGCTTGAGTTCTTTTTCTATCAACTAAACAATAACCTGGTTCGTGGTTTGTCCACTTCATGAACTCAGCCAACTCCTTAAAGTCTCTCAGTTATTCTCAGAGCTTTCCAGGTTTTAGACTTTTTTAGCCAGTTTGCAATGTACCTTCATGTATTTCTATGTCTTTATTGCCAAGCAGAAAAATTGACCACCCCCTGTTTTTTCTCACAAAAATTCTCTGTGTTCCTCTTTCTGTCTCTGACCATTTTCTCTTCATGTCTGCATCTGTGTGCTGATCCCCTTCAACCTCCAACTCCTTTCTTTCTAACTGTCCTTTGAGTTTGCCAACCACATAGATTCTTTCTGAATTTCCTTCTTG